ATTATCAGATTCAGAAACGAGAGAGAATTGAAATGCCGTGTCATGTTTTCGTATTGCCGAAGACGTCACTTTCAAGAGGTCATCGGTACGTAAACATTTCATTTCATACGAAAACATTCCACAATACACTAATAGGGCATACTATAAACTTTTGAAATACTTTGTTATATCGACTAACAACAATGGTTCATTCCAAAATCATTTATTCATACTTATTCATCCACGAACGCTGTGAAAGTTTGCATCGGAATAAAATGAAGTGCCAGTGATAATCACCGAAAATTTCGTCTAGAGTAAAGCAGTGAAGAAATGTTCGCGGTTTCAACATACGCGAGACGATAAATAATAATAACGACGATGGATAATCACCGAGGATAAGGATGATTACTTCACTAAATTTATTGCTCAGTAATGACTAAAAAGCTGCACTACTTTAAAACTTCGAGGTAGTAATTGGCGATGTCGTTCAGAAAGCCACCATATACCGATCTTCTCGCATAAAAATGGTTGTTCTCATGAACTATTCGCTTCCCATGATTAGATGGGCATGAACTCTGTGTCTGAGCGGTCCACCCCAAAGAACGAAAACTTATTAGTACTTCAGAGCACTGCATAAACCTTTACGTTGCCGCTAGACACTTTCTTTCGCATAACTTTTTCGGTCGAAAATTTCAATATTTGTAGTTGGGACCATCTCAAGACAACAGGAAAACCATAGCAAATTGATTTCACTCGTTGGTTAAGAATAATTGAATGAGTACAACTGGATAATCGTCTAACTTGGAAGACATTCGCCCGTAACAGATGAAAATGTTTGTTGCGGTGGGCATAACGGTCCACAAGTCCCATTTACTGGAAATAAAGGCGATGGGCAATTGCAGGTTTGTCGATAACATGATGAACCTTTGAACACTGATGCGCATTGTGATGAATGACTGCATCCCGTTGATCCCGGTGGAATGGCTGAATATCACTTCGTAAACGCAGCGAAATTCAGTTCGTCCGAAATATGCGAGCGAATGAGTTCAAATTTGTTTCGGCTTCGAAATTTACTGATTCTGATGAATGTTTGTTTTAGTCAAAATTGCAATAAATCAGCTCTGAGGATGAATCGGATAAATACTTTTCAACTAAAATCAGTCATGTCAATGTGAAAGAAATTTTGTGTGAGCTGATGAAGTTGGTTGAAGTGACGCTCGCCAGGAATCGATTCCAAAATTCTTCTAAACATTTAGAGGCGGGAAGAGAATATCTGTGACTGGAAGAATGGAAACTGGATGGATGGTTCATATAAAAGAAATGACAGATGCCAATATTTATTGCAGAGAATAACCGCGCAGCATATTAATAATTGAGACGAGCGACTGATTACCTCGTTTGCATTCACCAACTTCCTCGATCCAGATCAACCCTTTTTCTTGACAGTTTTGATTCGAGTATACGCATGACCTTCCACTGATCTGCATTCCACTCGCACATTCACATCGTAATCGTGAACAAAACGATCCGTCTTCTACTGCATCACATTGTTTTGAGTATTGGCATGGCTGACCGGGGTACTGCACTAAAATATGTCAACACTGCAGATTATCGAATTGCAAGCATTCATCGTTTTCAGTACACCGCATTCCAGTTTCTCAACGAGAAAATAAGGTCAGTACTCGTCTTACCTGCCATACACGTTCCAGCTTCATCAACATAAACTTCACCATTTTGACATGACGCTTGTGAGACTCTCTCTGAAAGTATGAAGCGCAATAAATGCGAATTTGTTTTTGAATCAAGCGTTGAATGGATGTACTCACATAGAATTTAAATGGTTCTCGCTCAGTTAAATATTTCTAAAACCAAGCCTATCGGTAACCTCAAAAAATAACAACACAAACCTGCGTGAGCATCGAATATGTCTTCATCAGGTGACGAATAATGTCGATACGTGGTTGTTATTTCATCGGATGGAGATGAAGTTGGCTTGCGACGGAAGAAATTCGTTAGCTTAGCAAAGAATCCTTCTGGAAATGCACAAACAAATGCATTTGAAATAGCCGTAAGAATCAATAGAATACCTAATCTCATCGTTGAACAGATGAGATATAATAGTTACTTGTGTGATGATCAGGTTTTGAGTGTGATCGCTGGCAGTTATTTCATTTCACAAATATTAGAAGAACACCTGACTTATTGATTACGTAATACGTTCATTTCCCGTCATATAATAGCACTTCTTATTCATCCATCACACATATGATGGAACTTCACTGCTCCCATCAAATATCATATTGTCACTTTATTGAAATTCTTGATATCTGACGATGAGGAATTTGTTTTGAAAACTGCCCTCAGAAGACAAGAATTGAATGAGACGAATATCAGTTTCAGATTTTGTCCTTTTCGGAAATTCTTTCGAACCAGCTCAAGAAGTTCACTAGCTATGAAATAAGAACAGATGCACAATTCGAATTTACGAAATAATTTAAGCATAAAACTTTATATCACTTATACCTGCAAGTATACATTTTCTTGCTATCGCTTGAGTACCGTTCGGACACTGACATATTTGTTGGTGATCACAAAATGCATCAGGATTTTGCTCGGAGCATTGCAACGAATCTTCGCAACCATACTCTCCAGGAGAGATAACTGCAATTGAGTGATAAGAGAGCCTAGCGAAGAAATTACATGTGAAACGCGCTCTGGACAAATCGATGATCACGAATGCAGTGTTTTGGATATCGAATTGTTTCACTGAAGATGCAGTGAACTGTTACTTTGGTGAAATTCAATGAAGAACCTTAATTTCGGTAAAGATCAGTCGGATGCATTGCACTTCAATTCAGTCAATCATCGTTAATCTTTATCGGTAGAAATGATTTGTGAATTGCAAATATGCGATAGACAACACACCACGCACTCTGCTTAACTAAACCTTCCTCTACTTCATAATTTGTTTTTCTACCATTCACGATTCTCACTGCTCC